TTATTCCAACGGAAGAATCCCCCTTCTCCTCTCAGACAGACACCCAGTAAGAGAAGGAGTCAATGCCCTGTTTGTGATATGTGCCATAACCACCTATTGCAATTTGTCAAGACACATACTGTATATCAAATGTGTTGCCTTGTGTGCCAAGCCACCAACTCACCACCAGCACCAGCCAGGGCTTGCCCTGGTAGGTTTGGTGAGAGATGGAAAGGTCTATTTCGGTCATGTTTTGAAACTGTTGGTAGTTTGAACTGACAGTTTTATATGAATGTGTTATCCTTGATGGCCTGTCAAATCAATAATACCACCCTGGTATTCTGTTTCCTCGTTCCCTACAGACAGTAGGTCTACTAGGCCACAAATGTTTCCAGTGAAGGATCTTATAATGCCTCTACCACACAGCCACCTCACTCACACAAGGCATTGAAGGTTTGATCACGTAAACCAGTCACAGATGGAGTTTTGATAAGACAAAAAATGACAAGGAATCAAGTCAGAAACACTGTCATTGTTATCATTCCATCCTGTTCTTGTATGGATAAAAAGTTTTGTAAGACCCCAACATCTGCCAAAGCCTGCAGGAATAGCCGGGAAAGCAAAATGATGTAACTGTTCAATGTAAAAATACACACCCACTACCACTTCACAGACTGTAATGATTGTTTTCACTGCCTGCTGCCTCTGAGTAAGAGAAGTGTTCTTTAGATGAACCAATGCTGTGGGCAGTGCTGCCTGCGCACACATTCAAACAGCTATACATGATGTTCCAAAACAAGACAGTAGAATGTACCATAACAATATTGTTCAAGTTTCAGGTTACCTGAAGCTTTCAGTTTGGTCACAGAAATTCAATTCCCATTATGGTTCAAATATGTTTAAAAAATGAAACCGTCAAATTTGGCATTGACTATGACCACGGTCTTCTGACTGATGTGACTGAATTCCCCTGCCCAGTCATGTTTCTTCAGTTCAGTCCTCAACTGAACATGACACAACGCTTCACTCAAAAGCATGTCGTAGAGTAGATTTTGAAAAGGGTGCTTTTCCAGAAAGCCTAGTGTATTATGAAGGTAATATCCTATTCTTTGAGATGGTCTATTTGAGGAGAACAAGTTGTGTTCAACCTCTAGTCAATTCTAACCAATGCAACTTTCTGGGACATATTCTACATGGCCAAAGGTATGTGGACACTCCTTCAAATGTGTTGATTCAGCTATTTCAGCCACACCTGTATAAAATCGAGCACACAGCCATGCAATCTCCATAGACAAACATTGGCAGTAGAATGGCCCGTACTGAAGAGCTCAGTGAACTTTCAACGTGTCACCATCATAGGATGCCAGCCACCTTTCCAACAAGTCAGTTCGTCAAATTTCTGCCCTGCTAGAGCTGCCCCAGTCAACTGTAAGCGCTGTTATTGTGAAGTGGAAATGTCTAGGAGCAACAACGGCTCAGCCGTGAAGCGGTAGGCCACACAAGCTCACAGAATAGGCCCGCTAAGTGCTGAAGCGCATAGCGCGTAAAAATCGTTGGTTGCAACACTCACTACCAAGTTCCAAACTGCCTCTGGAAGCAACGTCAGCACAATAACTGTTCATCGGGACCTTCATGAAATGGGTTTTTATGGCCGAGCAGCCACACACAAGCCTAAGATCACCATGCGCAATTCCAAGCGCCAGCTGGAATCACCAGGGGCACACTGCCTGCCCTCCAGGACACCTACAATACCTGATGTCACAGGAAGGCCAAAAAAATCATCAAGGACATCAACCACCTGAGCCACGGCCTGTTCACCCCGTTATCATCCAGAAGGCGAGGTCAGTACAGGTGCATCAAAGCTGGGACCGAGAGACTGAAAAACTGCTTCTATCTCAAGGCCATCAGACTGTTAAATAGCCATCACTAGCTGGCTACCACCCCGCTACTCAACCCTGCACCTTAGAGGCTGCTGCCCTATATACAGTTGAAGTCGGAGGTTTACATACACCTTAGCCAAATACATTTAAACTCAGTTTTTCACAATTCCTGACATTTAATCCTAGTAAAAAAATCCCTGTTTTAGGTCAGTTAGGATCACCACTTTATTTTAAGAATGTGAAATGTCAGAATAATAGTAGAGAGAATTATTTATTTCAGCTTTTATTTCTTTCATCACATTCCCAGTGGGTCAGAAGTTTACATACACTCAATTAGTATTTGGTAGCATTGCCTTTAAATTGTTTAACTTAGGTCAAACGTTTCGGTAGTCTTCCACAATAAGATGGGTGAATTTTGGCCCATTCCTCCTGACAGACCTGGTGTAACTGAGTCAGGTTTGTAGGCCTCCTTGCTCGCACACGCTTTTTCAGTTCTGCCCACAAACTTTCTATAGGATTGAGGTCAGGGCTTTGTGATGGCCACTCCAATACCTTGACTTTGTTGTCCATAAGCCATTTTGCCACAACTTTGGAAGTATGCTTGGGGTCATTGTCCATTTGGAAGACCCATTTGCGACCAAGCTTTAACTTCCTGACTGATGTCTTGAGATGTTGCTTCAATATATCCACATAATTTTCCTTCCTCATGATGCCATCTATTTTGTGAAGTGCACCATTCCCTCCTGCAGCAAAGCACCCCCACAGCATGATGCTGCCACCCCCGTGCTTCACGGTTGGGATGGTGTTCTTCGGCTTGCAAGCCACCTCCTTTTTCCTCCAAAGATAACGATGGTCATTATGGCCAAACAGTTGTATTTTTGTTTCATCAGACCAGAGGACATTTCTCCAAAAGTACGATCTTTGTCCCCATGTGCAGTTGCAAACCATAGTCTGGCTTTTTTATGGCGGTTTTGGAGCAGTGGCTTCTTCCTTGCTGAGTGGCCTTTCAGGTTATGTCGATATAGGACTCGTTTTACTGTGGATATAGATACTTTTGTACCTGTTTCCTCCAGCATCTTCACAAGGTCCTTTGCTGTTGTTCTGGGATTGATTTCCACTTTTCGCACCAAAGTACGTTCATCTCTAGGAGACAGAACTTGTCTCCTTCCTGAGCGGTATGACGGCTGCGTGGTCCCATGGTGTTTATACTTGCATACTACTGTTTGTACAGATGAACGTGGTACCTTCAGGCGTTTGGAAATTGCTCCCAAGGATGAACCAGACTTGTGGAGGTCTACACATTTTTTTGGCTGATTTATTTTGATTTTCCCATGATGTCAAGAAAAGAGGCACTGAGTTTGAAGGTAGGCCTTGAAATACATCCACAGGTACACCTCCAATTGACTCAAATGATGTCAATTAGCCTATCAGAAGCTTCTAAAGCCATGACATCATTTTCTGGAATTTTCCAAGCTGTTTAAAGGCACAGTCAACTTAGTGTATATACACTTCTGGAACTGGAATTGTGATACAGTGAATTATAAGTGAAATAATCTGTCTGTAAACAATTGTTGGAAGAATTACTTGTGTCATGCACAAAGTAGATGTCCTAACCGACTTGCCAAAACTATAGTTTGTTAACAAGAAATTTGTGGAGTGGTTGAAAAATGAGTTTTAATGACTCCAACCTAAGTGTATGTAAACTTCCGACTTCAACTGTACATAGACATGGAATCACTGGCCACTTTAATAATGGAACACTAGTCACTTTAATGTTTACATACTGCTTTACTCATCTCATAAGTATATACTGTATTCTATTCTACTGTATTTTAGACAATGCTACTCCGACATTGCTCATCCTAATATTTATATATTTCTTAATTCCATTATTTTACTTTTAGATTTGTGTGTATTGTTGTGAATTGTTAGATATTACTGTACTGTTGGAGCTAGGAACACAAGCATTTTGCTACACCTGCAATAACATCTGCTAAATATATGTATGTGACCAATATAATTTGATTTGTAAAGCTCGCCGCCATTGGACTCTGGAGCAGTGGAAATGCATTCTCTGGAGTGATGAATCACGCTTCACCAAGTGACGAATCTGGGTTTGGCGGATGCCAGCAGAACGCTACCTGCCCCAATGCATAGTGCCAACTGTAAAGCTTGGTGGAGGAATAATGGTCTGGGGCTGTTTTTCATGGTTCAGGCTAGGCCCCTTAGTTCCAGTGAAGGGAAATCTTAACGCTACAGCATACAATGACAATATAGACGATTCTGTGCTTCCAACTTTGTGACAACAGTTTGGGGAAGGCCCTTTCCTGTTTCAGAATGACAATGCCCCCCTGCACAAAGCGAGGTCCATACAGAAATGGTTTGTCGAAATCGGTGTGGAAGAACTTGATTGGCCTGCACAGAGCCCTGACCTCAACCCCATCAAACACCTTTGGGATGAATTGGAACATAGACTGCGAGCCAGGCCTAATCGCCCAACATCAGTGCCTGACCTCACTAATGCTCTTGTGGCTGAATGGAAGCAAGTCCCCGCAGCAATGTTCCAACATCTAGGGGAAAGCCTTCCCAGAAGTGGAGGCTGTTATAGCAGCAAAGGGGGGGGACCAACTCCATATTAATGGCCATGATGGTGGAATGAGATGAGCAGGTGTCCATATACTTTTGTATGTAGTGTAGAATGAGACAAATTAAAATATGTTCAGCAAGCAACCGACTGGGCACACAGTGGTTGAATCAACGTTGTTTCAATGGAATTACATTAAACCAACGTGGAATAGACGTCTGTGCCCAGCGGGAAGGTTCTCTTTCCTATTTGTCCTTCAAGATTGATGACCGCATGTCACAGAGATCACAATTCCTCGACCGAAAACACAAAATATCTGTTTCAGTGTTTTTATTAGAAAAGGAATTACAAAAACTTTGTTGATTCACAGAATTTGCCAATGTCATTTGTATAAAATACATTCAGTTTCAGCTGTGTGCTGCACTGCGCATGACACCTAAGCTGCATTGCTGACCTGAAGTCAGTTCTTTAGTACACTTCAAAGTGACATCTCCAACTTAAGGCTTAAAGTAACGCTGAGCAAATGTTCTGCAGACGTTCACAGACTGTTCGAAAACATCAAGGCACAGGCATCTGGGTTGAATCAAATGCACAAACCACATGGCTCAGATATTTCCTCCATAGTCGCTTCTAAAGCTAATCATTTGAGCTTGCAGCAGCTTCAAAACACACACACTTTTCTTCCACATGCAAAAAAACTCAACTGTTTAGTTTTTTCATCCATTACTGTCGTATTAACATTCAGAATACATTGAACATCCTCATACAGAGGACAGCTGCTTTATCAGAATCTCTCATGGAATCATTTCAGTACATTTTCAGATACTACAAGATTCAGGTTTTCCCTTTTGCATAGTATTACCCGGCTAAATGTCAAAACCTGCTGACTCAACTCCTCCTCACCAAACAGTCTCAGATAAGTGCTTACTTGAATAACACTTACTTGACTAACAGTAGACATAGTCATCATGATTGAGTCATACTACATGTTACCAGGCAAGGGGGAGTTGGGTATTAAGAGATGATGGTTACACATGCCTCTTAACACCAAGCCAGCTGATCATTTGTTCATTTGCAGATGTAAACTGAAGATAACATCGCATTCTTTGAGGCTTAGGTTTCATCTGCAACTCCAACTCTCCCCCTCACAAAAATCAAGTGATCCTCCCCCAATATTTCCCCAAACTCTGTAAAACACAAAACATTTATTGTGTGGGTGTTCATTGATTGGCGGGCGGGGCGGCTCGGTTTCCTCATCCTGAGCCAGTATCACTTGGAAGGACAGGAACCATGGGAGAAGTTATTTCCTTTTCTTGTTGAACGTAACATGTCCCCCTTCCTTTTTAAAAAGGACTTCATCCACAAGCAGTTCCTGTCGCCTCCATCTCCTCCACCCTCTCGGTGGTACTCTAAGTCCCTTCCAACAACAGAGGCCACATCTTAGTACCGGGTCGCCAGTTTCGGAGAGTAATCCAGGAGAAGACAAAACTCTACGCTTTGTTTAATTAAAATAGGGTCATCGTGTGACGCTCAAGTGGGGCTTATGGTTCAACACGTCATGCAGCGACGTCTCATGTTGAGGGGCTGAGGGTTTGGGTCGACCTGCGGGCGCAAACACAAAAGGTATAAGTTTCAATAAGGCACATTGGGTCATAGAAGTGTAGAGTTCAGTTAATCAAAGAAATGCAGCCCTATTGTCATCGAGAGTATTCTAAGGGGTGCTAGCTCACCTCGCAGTACACCGGAGGGGGTCGGAAGCGGAACTCCTGGACAAAGGCCCTGAGAGGGTGCTCCATAATACCACTGAGGTCCTCCTCAGGACAGGGGGCCGTAGTGTTCCGCTCAGCCTCCTCATCCGTCACCACAGAGCTGTAGTCAGGAGGAGCTGTGTGGGGAGGGAAAGAGGGTACAGATGAGTAGACCATTTTTCCTAAGGTTGGAGATTTTCAGGGGGCCTGGCATTGAGCTTTGGGGAACACCGCTAACTCTTGTATTACAATGAGACAGACACTTACGCTCAGGCTGCTCGGGGATGGCCATGCGGAGCCATTCCAGGTTGACACTGTACTGGCTGCTGACGCTGGAGGTGCGGCTACCAAAGGGATGCAGGGGGATGGTGCCCATGACCAGGGGCAGCTCCAGGCACAGCTTAGAGGTCCCAGGAACATCCACACACACCTAGGTGTTGGAGAGGGGAGAAAGCTTTTAGAACTACAGTAACAGAATCATCTGTAGGGGTAAAACCACTACCAACTGGTCTCTAATTAGCTTTTCATTATCAATCGGAGACGTATACTCAACAAGGAAAATCTAATGAATGATGTGCTTTTCATTCTGTTTTTTGCTTGAACTCACCTTGAGCATGTATTCCACTTTGATGATGCGGCACTGCAGGATGGAGGGCCCGACCGGTGGGATCTTGATGGCGCGGCCGTGCCAGATCTCCCTGCGCTGGGCGCCCACCACGTCGCCACTAAGCGTGGCCACAACCGCTTGCTTCTGCTTCATGGTGCCCCGAGCGATGAACGTCTGCGTCTGTGTGATGTAGGCCTTGGGCACCACCGAGCGTGAGGTGGCATTGTCAAACTCAGCAAATACGGGAATCACCTCACCTGTAAGATGAAGAATAGAGGTTGTGAGTTGAGATTTGGTTCAGTTAAAAAATAGTTTGACTTAATGTTCAGTTTTCAGGACCACTAGGGTTAAAAGATATGATTGGTTCTTACCTGGTGTGTAACCTTTGCGATCGATCTTAGCGGTTATTGACACCTGTCCCAAGTTGCGGTACCACACCCGTGCCATCTTGTCTTTAGTGCCAGCTTGGGGGGCCAATAAGGCTGGTGTGTTGATGTCAATGGGCTCGATGACTGTGAACTCCTTCTTGATCTTCCGCACTGTAGCCCAGGGCCTATGCAGCTTCACTTTCACCCAGTAGCGGACGCTGCCATGCTTGCCTTCGAACGATGTCACCAGTGTCCTGTTGAAGCAAAAAAACACACTGATTGATTAGACCTTATTTGTTCTTTAATAAGATGCGAGGATATCATAGGTCCAAATCAGAATTTGCCTACAGTGCATCACTGTATGCTAATTCTGAACCATTCATTCCAGAAAGGGATACTTACTCTTCAGGCAACTGGAAACTAAACGGGAAATTCATGTCTTCCAGCAGGGAGGAGGGTGAGCTCGCCATTATCTGAAGATAAATTAATAAAACAAGCATTAATGATTTGAAACAACTTCTGATCCACATTGATTACTGAATGAGGGCCTTTTGCTTTTCAAAGCAATGTACTAAGTAAAATAAATACAGGAGAAATCACTGAGTTTCTTTATCATTACAATGAACTGCAATTGCAGTTTTCCCTTTTCTCCTCAAACACAAGAGTGCCACCACATGCGCTCTATACTGCCAGGTGCTCTTGAATGGGTATTTGCAGTCCCTTGTTTTTTGGTTTTCTATATATTATTTAATTTAGGGCTGCATTCAGACCGAGTAAACTTTTAGAGTGAATCCAAACTCAATCTAATATACATAATACTGTCAAATCCTTTGACAGGGTCAAGTGGTTTATTTTTAATGAACACAATTGTTTTCCCAAGCTGCTTCACAAGATGCAAATGGAAACGTTATACGAACTATATTACCATTGAGAACACCTGAATCTTCAAATTACAGAATAACTTTAAGATAAGTTATAACAAAATACTTTCCCATGAGAGAAAACCCCCTCAAAACCCAGTAAGGTACAATGAAAATACTTTTATTTTGAGTAAAATTTGCCCAAGTGGTTTTGTCCAATGTCCAGTGAGTTGCATAGCATGGAACACTTCATTGCTTTCATTCACCGATAGCGTGAATAACTAACCTGCTTGCAGAAGAACTTCTCTCCTGTTGAGATATTCCACTTCGTCGCTGTAGTTTTGAGTATAAGCAGTACTGGACCCAGCCGAACGAGACTCGGTCCAAAGCACTTTCGCAAAACCTTCGGCGTGCAACTTCAACGACTGCACTTTACTTTCACCTGACAGGTCCAAAACAACTTTTCCAGACACCACGTCCCCACTGCTGAAGACGGGAGGGGAGTCGATTTCTGGGAGAGTCGAAGACGATGTAAAGCTTTTTCAATTTGTCGAAAATCATGTTGAGGCTTGTTAGTTCCAAAGAGTATACTTCTGTTTAAATCTTCTTGCTCCTTGTTGAAGTTGTCAAAGAACTCTGAAAGAATGTTTCGGTACTATCTTAATATCCTTGTCGCTACACTTGCAAAACAAAACGGATTAAGTAGTCGCGGCCACAGCTCCCTTTTGCGCGATGTGGGCTGTCCGAACATATTATGTAAGAGAGCATAGATGGTAACAGACTGGTAAACACCTTCCCTGGGTGTCGAGCGCTCAAGTAAACGGGGAATACCGTGCCTGGTGATTGATGGTTACAGGTTCTTAGACCAAAACAGGCTTACTGAGCATGCCCGAAGGCTGCAAAGATCCTCCCATGACAAAATAGTTTCACATTGTACACATTGCAAAGGTATTTCAGCTTTTGCTCATGTAAATTTTTTTGCATTCTGTACATGAGGTCTATGCATTAGTTGCAAGAAAGGGAACATGCACAGCTTACCAAATATATATTTTTATAGTCTGTAAATGCCTATAATGAATGTTCTTTTCATTGTTATTATTCATTAATGCACTGCATTGTTGGGGGAGCTTGCACATAAGCATTTCGCGGCACCTTTTATACCGGCTGTAAACTGTGTATGTGACGAAAACATTTGATTTGATCATTATATTTGCCATTTCATATAGGCTACCACTTCAAGACAAAGTAATAATTCTAAGGGGAAAGTGCATGAAGATGAAAAGTACATTTTAAACAAATACTTTATACAAATACATATCATATATTGAAAAACAATTACTCACAGGACCTCTAGATTACAAAATCAGGGGTAACAAAAAAAAAAACGTTGTTTACTTCATTTCCTGAAAGTATGCGTCGGTTATATACTGCCTCCTTGTGGTGTGAACGTGACACATGCAACAGTTGCACTTCATCATGGAAGCAAGACTGTACAGCAGGGTTTCCCAAACGCAGTACTGGGGTCCCCCCTGGGTGCACGTTTTGGTTCTTGGCCTAGCACTACACAGCTGATTCAAATAGTCAAAGCTTGGTGGTGAGTTGGTTATTTTAAATCAGCTGTGTAGTGCTAGGGCAAAAACCAAAACGTGCACCCAGGACCAAGTTTGGGAAACCCTGATGTACAGTACTGGTACTGTACAACTTTATGATACCAACCGCCTCCTGGTGGCTATATGAGAACTAAAAAGTGTCAGTCACGTAGGCCTCACTGTCTCTAATCAACTTCAGACAGCTCTGACCCTAGACTCCCTATAGTGGCTGAGCAGATTAGATAAAACCACGTACACAAGCATGATTTTGGACATATACAACCACCTAGTATCAAATAATCAATGGTATGCAGACAAACTAACAAGTTAATACAGTGTAAATATTTATGTTCAGAAGGCCATAACTACGTGTTCAACAGCCTGGCTTGAATTTCTAAATACACTGCTCAAAAAAATAAAGGGAACACTTAAACAACACAATGTAACTACAAGTCAATCACACTTCTGTGAAATCAAACTGTCCACTTAGGAAGCAACACTGATTGACAATACATTTCACATGCTGTTGTGCAAATGGAATAGATAACAGGTGGAAATTATAGGCAATTACCAAGACACCCCCAATAAAGGACTGGTTTTGCAGGTGGTGACCACAGACACTTCTCAGTTCCTATGCTTCCTGGCTGATGTTTTGGTCACTTTTGAATGCTGGCGGTGCTTTCACTCTAGTGGTAGCATGAGACAGAGTCTACAACCCACACAAGTGGCTCAGGTAGTGCACCTCATCCAGGATGGCACATCAATGCGAGCTGTGGCAAGAAGGTTTGCTGTGTCTGTCAGCGTAGTGTCCAGAGCATGGAGGCGCTACCAGGAGACAGGCCAGTATATCAGGAGACGTGGAGGAGGCCGTAGGAGGGCAACAACCCAGCAGCAGGACTGCTACCTCCGCCTTTGTGCAAGGAGGAGCAGGAGGAGCACTGCCAGAGCCCTGCAAAATGACCTCCAGCAGGCCACAAATGTGCATGTGTCTGCTCAAACGGTCAGAAACAGACTCCATGAGGGTGGTATGAGGGCCCGACGTCCACAGGTGGGGGTTGTGCTTACAGCCCAACACCGTGCAGGACGTTTGGCATTTGCCAGAGAACATCAAGATTGGCAAATTCGTCACTGGCGCCCTGTGCTCTTCACAGATGAAAGCAGGTTCACACTGAGCACGTGACAGACGTGACAGAGTCTGGAGATGCCGTGGAGAACGTTCTGCTGCCTGCAACATCCTCCAGCATGACCGGTTTGGCGGTGGGTCAGTCATGGTGTGGGGTGGCATTTCTTTGGGGGGCCGCACAGCCCTCCATGTGCTCGCCAGAGGTAGCCTGACTGCCATTAGGTACCGAGATGAGATCCTCAGACCCCTTGTGAGACCATATGCTGGTGCGGTTGGCCCTGGGTTCCTCCTAATGCAAGACAATGCTAGACCTCATGTGGCTGGAGTGTGTCAGCAGTTCCTGCAAGAGGAAGGCATTGATGCTATGGACTGGCCCGCCCGTTCCCCAGACCTGAATCCAATTGAGCACATCTGGGACATCATGTCTCGCTCCATCCACCAACGCCACGTTGCACCACAGACTGTCCAGGAGTTGGCGGATGCTTTAGTCCAGGTCTTGGAGGAGATCCCTCAGGAGACCATCCGCCACCTCATCAGGAGCATGCCCAGGCGTTGTAGGGAGGTCATACAGGCACGTGGAGGCCACACACACACACTACTGAGCCTCATTTTGACTTGTTTTAAGGACATTACATCAAAGTTGGATCAGCCTGTAGTGTGGTTTTCCACTTTAATTTTGAGGGTGACTCCAAATCCAGACCTCCATGGGTTGATAAATTTGATTTCCATTGATAATTTTTGTGTGATTTTGTTGTCAGCACATTCAACTATGTAAAGAAAAAAGTATTTAATAAGATTATTTCATTCATTCATATCTAGGATGTGTTATTTTAGTGTTCCCTTTATTTTTTTGAGCAGTGTATATAAAGAAGGCGGACAAACAGCAGGACATACTATTTAGCAAATTAACCCAGAGTTTATTCAAGCAAAAAAAAGACAGCCCAGTTTATTGCAATGAACACAGCATCATTATCTATCAGACAACCAAAGACATTTGTAGTATCAGTTCCAACATGAAGTGTTTCAAAACCAGACCAACCAAACTAAAGCATTGATCAAAGCTTAATGTCTTCAAGGGAGTAAAACTATTCTGCAATTCCATCTGACCACAGAAAAAAGGGTACGTTTATATGATATGAGACATCCACAGAATGTTTGCCCTGGAAAGCTTTATTAGTCCATTGAATGTTATAAATGGCCTAACGATAAAAAAATAATGATCACATTTTTTGTAATGAAATATCACTTTAAGCTATTTCCCAACGGACTTACCATGATTAAAGTTTACTTTTATAGATGTCTGAACACTGAAGTCCCAGACTTCCCAACTACAGTGCATTCGGAAAGTATTCAGACCCCTTGACTTTTTCCACTTTGTTACGTTACAGCCTTATTCTAAAATGGATTAAAATTGTTGTGTTTTCCCCCTCAATCTACACAATACCCCATAATAACAAAGCAAAAACAGGTTTAGAAATGTTTGCTAATTTATATATATATATATTTTTTAAATTAAAAACTGAAATTACATTTGCATAAGTATTCAGACCCTTTACTCAGTACTTTGTTGAAGCACCTTTGGCAGCGATTACAGCCTTGAGTCTTCTTGGGTATGACGCTACAAGTTTGGCACACCTGTATTTGGGGAGTTTCTTCCATTCTTCTCTGCAGATCCTCTCAAGCTCCGTCAGGTTGGATGGGGAGTGTCGCTGCACAGCCATTTTCAGGTCTCTCCAGAGATGTCCAAGGACATTGAGACTTATCCCGAAGCCATTCTGTGTTGTCTTGGCTGTGTGCTTAGGCTCGTTGTCCTGTTGAAAAGTGAACCGTCGACCCAGTCTGAGGTTCTGAGCGCTCTGAAGTAGGTTTTCATCAAGGATCTCTCTGTACTTTGCTCCGTTCATCTTTCCCTCACTCCTGACTAGTCTCCCAGTCCCTGCCGCTGAAAAACATCCCCACAGCATGTTGCCACCACGCTTCACCGTAGGGATGATGCCAGGTTTCCTCCAGACGTGACGCTTGGCATTCATGGCAAAGAGTTCAATCTTGGGTTCATCAGACCAGAGAATCTTGTTTCTCATGGTCTGAGCGTCCTTTAGGTGCCTTTTGGCAAACTCCAAGCGGGTTGTCATGTGCCTTTTACTGAGGAGTGGCTTCCATCTGGCCACTCTACCACAAAGGCCTGATTGGTGGAGTGCTGCAGAGATGGTTGTCCTTCTGGGCGGTTCTCCCATCTCCACAGAGGAACTCTGGAGCTCTGTCAGAGTGACCATTGGGTTCTTGGTCACCTCCCTGACCAAGGACCTTCTCCCCTGATTGCTCAGTTTGGCCGGGCGGCAAGCTCTAGGAAGAGTCTTGGTGGTTCCAAACTTCTTCCATTTAAGAATGATGGAGGCCGCTGAGTTCATGGGGACCTTCAATGCTGCAGAATCTGTGCCTCGACACAATCCTGTCTCTGAGCTCTACGGACAATTCCTTCGACACTCACGGCTTGGTTTTTTCTCTGACATGCACTGTCAACTGTAGGACCTTATATAGACAGGTGTGTGCCTTTCCAAATTATATCCAATCAATTTAAATTTACCACAGGTGGCCTCCAATCAAGTTGTAGAAACATCTCAAGGATGATCAATGGAAACAGGATGCACCTGAGCTCAATTTGAGTCTCATAGCAAAGGGTCTGAATACTTATGTAAATAAGGTATCTTTTTTGTTTTTAATATATTTCTAAAACCCTGTTTTCGCTTTGTCATTATGGGGTATTGTGTGTACATTGATAAGAAAAAACATGTATTTAATCCATTTTAGAATAAGGCTGTAACGTAACAAAATGTGGAAAAAGGGAAGGGGTCTGAATACTTTCCGAATGCACTGTATTAGTCAGGTAACAAATGATTTTTAGGGGGTGTATTTCAACAGCTTTCTGTAGATGCTGTTTATCTAGCTGGGACTTCAACTTTGCAATAAATCAAGATACAATCTATCAGTTTATTGTTTTTCTATTCATGGAGATCTTCTTGATTTGAAATAACAAACAGAGCCTAATCAAAGTTAGTAATGTAGTAGCTTGCCTACGCATTACATCTTGGGGAGTGCTTTTGAAGGTTCTCTGGAATAACAAAAACCTTGCTTGACAAGTTTGCATGTAAAGAAATTAGGACTTAATTCATGTGCAGTATAGTGAAAACTAGGGGTTGGGGGGTGTCCCGTCCCACAAGCGCCCACGTGTTGTTTTCCCTGTTGCCTGAGAGACAGAGGCAGCATTTCTTAAAACCCCCAGCCCTTTTCAGACAAGCAGCTGCCCCTGCCTCTTCTTGGGCGTTTCCACTCGCGCTTCCTTTCACTTCAGTTTATTCTTTCCAAAAGCACTATTCACAGTTGTCTATCAGTCATAATTAAAGAGAATGTGTAAAAAACCCAAAATCAAGACCGTAAATGGCCATTACTTTCCAGTGACACAAGTGCTCTATCTATTTACCCTGCAGTCTGTAGACTAACAGGTGTAGACTAACAGTGAAATGCTTACTTGCAGCCCTTCCCAACAATGCAGGGAGAAAAAATTTTTAAATAGAAAAATAATAAGCACAGGGAATAAATACACAATGAGTAACGATAACTTGGCTATATACACATGGTACCAGTACCGAGTCGATGTGTAGGGGCACGAGGTAATTGAGGTAGATATGTACAATGGGGGAAAAAAGTATTTAGTTAGCCACCAATTGTGCAAGTTCTCCCACTTAAAAAGATGAGAGAGGCATGTAATTTTCATCATAGGTACACGTCAACTATGACAGACAAATTGAAGAAAAAAAATCCAGAAAATCACATTGTAGGATTTTTTATGAATTTATTTGCAAATTATGGTGGAAAATAAGTATTTGGTCACCTACAAACAAGCAAGATTTCTGGCTTTCACATACCTGTAACTTCTTCTTTAAGAGGCTCCTCTGTCCTCCACTCGTTACCTGTATTAATGGCACCTGTTTGAACTTGTTATCAGTATAAAAGACACCTGTCCACAACCTCAAACAGTCACACTCCAAACTCCACTATGGCCAAGACCAAAGAGCTGTCAAAGGACACCAGAAACAAAATTGTAGACCTGCACCAGGCTGGGAAGACTGAATCTGCAATAGGTAAGCAGCTTGGTTTGAAGAAATCAACTGTGGGAGCAATTATTAGGAAATGGAAGACATACAAGACCACTGATAATCTCCCTCGATCTGGGGCTCCACACAAGATCTCACCCCGTGGGGTCAAAATGATCACAAGAACGGTGAGCAAAAATCCCAGAACCACACGGGGGGACCTAGTGAATGACCTGCAGAGAGCTGGGACCAAAGTAACAAAGCCTACCATCAGTAACACACTACGCCGCCAGGGACTCAAATCCTGCAGTGCCAGACGTGTCCCCCTGCTTAAGCCAGTACATGTCCAGGCCCGTCTGAAGTTTGCTAGAGTGCATTTGGATGATCCAGAAGAGCATTGGGAGAATGTCATATGGTCAGATGAAACCAAAATAGAACTTTTTGGTAAAAACTCAACTCGTCGTGTTTTGGAGGACAAAGAATGCTGAGTTGCATCCAAAGAACACCATACCTACTGTGAAGCATGGGGGTGGAAACATCATGCTTTGGGGCTGTTTTTCTGCAAAGGGACCAGGACGACTGATCCGTGTAAAGGAAAGAATGAATGGGGCCATGTATCGTGAGATTTTGAGTGAAAACCTCCTTCCATCAGCAAGGGCATTGAAGATGAAACGTGGCTGGGTCTTTCAGCATGACAATGATCCCAAACACACCGCCCGGGCAACGAAGGAGTGGCTTCGTAAGAAGCATTTCAAGGTCCTGGAGTGGCCTAGCCAGTCTCCAGATCTCAACCCCATAGAAAATCTTTGGAGGGAGTTGAAAGTCCGTGTTGCCCAGCGACAGCCCCAAAACATCACTGCTCTAGAGGAGATCTGCATGGAGGAATGGGCCAAAATACCAGCAACAGTGTGTGAAAACCTTGTGAAGACTTACAGAAAACGTTTGACCTGTGTCATTGCCAACAAAGGGTATATAACAAAGAATTGAGAAACTTTTGTTATTGACCAAATACTTATTTTCCACCATAATTTGCAAATAAATTCATTAAAAATCCTACAATGTGACTTTCTGGAGAAAAAAAATCTCATTTTGTCTGTCATAGTTGACGTGTACCTATGATGAAAATTACAGGCCTCTCTCATCTTTTTAAGTGGGAGAACTTGCACAATTGGTGGCTGACTAAATACTTTTTTTCCCCACTGTACATTTAGGTAGGGTTAAAGTGACTAGGCAACAGGATAGATAATAAACAGTAACAAAAGGGTTATTCAGCTGTCCCCATACGATAACCCTTTTTGGTTCCAAGTAGAACCAAAAGATCTACCTGGAACCAAAAAGGGTTCTGCTATGGGGACAGCCGAAGAACCCTTTTGTAACCCTTTTTTTCTAAGAGTGTAAATCCAATTCCTATAAGCATGTTGGTGCTACACGTGAGCTTCATTCACATACAACCGAATTTTAAATATTAAGTTCATGCTGTCAAATATTTGCCTCTAAGAATGTCATTTTCTGATAGATGTTTATTTTTTTTCTGAACCATAAGTAGGACTTGTGTCTTTACTGTGTCCTACAGTAGGCTTGGTGAAATCCATGGTGCACTAGGCTACTTTAATAGATAGCTTTTTATCACGCAATCAATTAGTACCATTCCTTGGCTCAAAATTAGAATGTTCATTTGGATAATTGCATTAAAAGGAAATCAATAGATGCTACACCTTTTAAATAGTTTAACATTGTTGAGAAATAACAAAACAGTTGACCAATGACCAGTGTGCTTTTTCCATGATAAGACATAGGCCTACTTACCTCGGATGAGATGTTGCCTCTTCCTGAAGTAAGTGATATTGGAGGTGTAGTCGTTGTAAACGGCTTTCATGCCCCCACTGCGATTCTCAAGCCAGTGGGCAGTGGCAACCCCTCTTCCAAGGACCTTCATGGAGTGCACTTTCGTATCCCTGTTGAGCTCCAAAACGACCTGTCCGGACACTATCTCGCTGCTGGCATACACAGCATCGCCCGGCCCGTCCAACTCCAGCTTAAAACTTTTGATAGTATTGAAAGTCATTCCTTGGAGGGGAAAATAAATATTTTTTACAACAAGAAAATGTAGCCTGTGACATAAATAACTGATGGAGCCGTGCTGTTTGTCAATCACACGATTCTAAAACGTTCTCTATATAAAAATATACATACCAAACTAAATCTTTCACACCAGCAGATCAAAGGTCTGTCAAATAACGCAAACCTAACCTACCTTTAAAAAGAAGGGAGATGGTGGATTCGAGGTGTCAGGCTGTGCATGCTACAGAAGTCTCCACTGACTGTTATATTGTACAATATTTCTCCTACAGATATCGATGGTTTCGTTTACACCACAATTTGAATAAAGTACATTCGAGTCACACGGCCAACTCTCGTAGAAGAGTGTGGACAGAAAGCGACCACTGCAGAGATATTATAGAAAGGAGATAGGAATCCCATTGGGCATTGCATTGGATGGAGGAACGTATAACTCCTCACCCGGCAGACTGTCGACCAATCACGTTCACGTTGTCATATTGCGTCACGTGATGGCTAAATTTAAATCCTCACGCAATCCGTTCTCAAAGTCAGGGTATGAGTCGAGAAACCTGAATATTTTCGTCAAAAGTACGTAATATCACGATTCCAAAGCTATACGATATTAAAGAGAACAAGTTAATTATCTCACATCTCGGAAAATATTTGCAATGGTGTACTTCTTGTTGACGAAATTCATGCTAATGTTGGGTTTTTGAGCTATGGCCCAATTGACTTCCATTCACTCGTTGAAGGAGAGCTCTCCTTGTCCCACAAATGCCCAGAATGCACCGCGCGGACCATTGACGACGCACAGGCAACGTACACAATGAGAGTTAATACGATTCAATTGAGTTTCCCACCTCCTCAAAAGTATCTGACTACTTTTTTCAGTACGTGTCTGAAATGTCATTGGTTTACGACATGATTTGCTCTTAGATTGCTGTCCAATCCTTCCCTCCCTCCTACATGAGTGCACCAATTTATGTCTCATGTCTCCATGCCTATGCAATTTGCATCAATCATATAAGATATAATGCATTGGATGCATAAGATATCAATGCATGTAATAAATCAAATCAAATATTCATATTTAATAGGTTTAGGTATTCATTTATGAAAATATAGTTTAAAATTAAAGGACTCTCAGACCATGAGAAACAAGATTCTCTGGTCTGATGAACCCAAGATGTAACTCTTTGGCCTGAATGCCAAGCCTCACATCTGGAGGAATCTAGGCACCGCTCATCACCTGGCCAATACCATTTACATTTTAGTCATTTAGCAGACTCTCTTATCCAGAGTGACTTACAGGAGCAATTAGGGTTAAGTGTCTTGCTCAAGGGCACAGACAGATTTTTCACCTAGTCGGCTCAGGGATTAGAACCAGCGACCTTTCGGTTACTGGCACAACACTCTTAACCACTAAGCTACCTGTCGCCCCGATCCCTACGGTGAAGCATGGTGGTGGCAGCATCATGCTGTGGGGATGTTTTTCAGCGGCAGGGACTGGGAGACTAGTCAGGATTGAGGGAAACATGAATGGAGCAAAGTACAGAGAGATACTTGATGAAAACCTGCTCCAGAGTGCTCAGGACCTCAGACTGGGGAGAAGGTTCACCTTCCAACAGGACAACGACCCTAAGTACACAGCCAAGACAATGCTGGAGTGGCTTCGGGACAAGTCTCTGAATGTCCTTGAGTGGCCCAGCCAGAGCCCGGACTTGAACCCGATCAAGTCCGGGCTCTCTCTGGAGAGACCTGAAAATAGCTGTGCAGCGACGCTACCCATCCAACCGGACAGAGCTTGAGAGGATCGGCAGAGAAGAATGGGAGAAACTCCCCAAATACAGGTGTGCCACGCTTGTAGCGTCATACCCAAGGAGACTCAAGGCTGTAATCGCTGCCAAAGGTGCTTCAACAATGTACTGAGTAAAGGGTCTGAATACTTATTGGAAATGTGATATTTCAGTTTATTTTTAATAAATGTGCAAACATTTCTAAAAACCTGTTTTTGCTTTGTCATTATGGGGTATTGTGTGTAGATTGATGAGGGAAAAAAACAATTGAATCAATTTTAGAATAAGGCTTTATCCCTGATGCTGGCTCTGACCAAACCGGTAAGTTGCCCCTCACTATAGCTACACTTCTCCACGTGGTCAGACTTAGTGGTCTTCTCCCCTTTTAATGCTCTCATGTTCATCCTTGACAAATGCCATAAGGTCTGAAATAGACACCAAAGTCGACATACTGTACAAACAATTATCTAGGCTGATTTACCTCTATCTAGGCTGATTTTTTTATCTTGATCTACTGCTCTGCTAACTAGGTACCTAAAGTGTAGTCAGTGGCTAGCTAAGACAGACAAAATTAACTTTATTCAATTAATTTCAATACAGCTCATGGATTGGGCTCAGGTCTCTGATCGCACTGGTAAACGGTTGACAGTGTCGGCTAGAGACAATGTGCAGAAGCTTCCTGCAAGAATTTGTAGTCTTGCTGAGGTCTTCTCTGATGCTAATTTACATAAATAAATAAAAAGTCAATGGAGGCGAATATATTGATAAAACTCACCTTGTCCGAGAGGGAATTACACAGTTATCAAAATAGGGCTGTTATGGTGCACTTATTATTACTACACCGGCAGTCATGAAGGCAGTCAAATTCCAAGTGACCGTTTAGTCACGGTAATTAGGCTTCTCCAAGCTCTGATGTTGCTGATGGTTATTATTAGCCTACCAAACTTGCTAACTGCCTAGTACTCAGCACTCTATTGTCCTTCTAATCACTCTGACGTCAATGCAAATGTGATCAAAAATCTAATCAAACACTTCATGAGTGCGCATGAGCTCATGTTGCGCAACATTTTTATAGGCTATACAATAGGCCCTTTTCACGATGACGTCATCTAACTTCCGCCTTTCCGCGTAGCAGGTTAACTTCACTTCCGTTCGCCCGTAACCTGAGACTTCTCAACGAAAATACAACTGTTGACCACTAACTAGCAAGCTAGCTACTTGAAGAAATTCCAAAAGGTACGTTTAAGTTAAATTAGTAAAGTTAAGAGTAATAATGTTTACGTATATGCAATGGTTTGTAACTTGCTAACGTTATTGTTAATTCATAATTGTTCACTGCCTTAGTTACTTAAAAGTGGGCTAACGTTAGCTAACAACAACTTAGTACCAGATACCGATAACGTTAAAAGGTAGCGTTACATTGCTGCCTGGCTGTAATGTAACAAGTTTACTTAGCTAGCTATCTAACCCTTTGTTAGGCAGTTAGTTTATTCATGAATGTATAGTAACTCACCTATTCAAATACTGTTGTGCATGATAGCTAGATAAATATTGATTCCTGGTCAAAGCTGAATGTTAATTTAGCTGTTTCTTTTCTCCCGGTGTCTGTATCGCAACAGTATCCCATCCAACACCGAAGCATGGCACAATCTTCGAGAAGATGCTATTGCAGTGTACCATTTTGTTCAAACAACAAACAGAAATTCCCGTATCTGAGTTTTCACGATTTCCCTGTTGATGGAGAAATACGTGCCCGTTGGGTGAGGGCGATCAGGAGAGATGAGGGACCAAGTTTTAAGATTCTTCGTGGGAGCACCTTTGTTTGCAGTCAGCACTTTCCCCCTGAGGATAGATACACATCGGCCAGTGGACGGATCCGTATTAAACAGGGATCAGTGCCGTCTAGATTCCACTGGAATGATTGGGGTAAGGATAGGTAGACAGCGTTAAACGTAATACTACTGTAATCCAATAATATATTACTTGTACAAAATGTTTAATAATTTAATCCTGATGCAATATAGCTGCTACATTTTGTCATTTTAGGGACTGAAAAGTGATTACCAAAATGTATCATGACAAGCATATGGTTAATTTCACACATATAGGAGGCGGCTCACAAGCTCGGGAGTCAGTTTACCAGCGAGCAAGAAAGCGTCTTGGTGTTGCTGTCCTGGATGATTCTGATCATGAGATGCCTGACAGCACAGAGGGTGCTTTGCCTGCAGTGACAAACGATCACGACTATGCCTGCCGTCCTTCTCCTGGTTAGTATTACAAATAAGAGTAACCATGTATCTGTTTGGCAAAAAAAGTAAAAGTATATGGCAGTTAAGTAAAAATACTATTTTGATTTTGAAACTGATCCACAGTGGAACTTTGTGGAATCATTCTTATTAAATCTGCAACCGCAGCAAAACACAACAAAAAGAAAACTTATCTATCTTAACCTATCTTATCATAATGTTAGAGAACTGTTTATCTGAGAAACCTGAAGCCGATGAGCCTCCTCATTTTTCTTCATGGACCTGTAACATCGCCCTCTCACTGTCACCTCACCGTTAACTACACTTGAGACTGTTTCAATACAGTGATTGGGAGAAAGGGCGCAGCATTAGCCATTAATACATTACTGACTCTTATCTTACGGTCGATACAAACAGCAGTAATATTAAAAAGAGGCTGCAAAACAGAAACTCGTCAGCTCATAACCTTCGCTAGCATAGGGCTAATTTAAGCTAAATAAAGATAAACACGTACCTTCATAATCAAACAGGTAACCTTCAACGAAGAACTTGTAGCCTTTATCAAGCTTCGATCTTGAAGTAAGGGACCACTTGTCAGCAAGTCGTTCTACGTCGTTAAGTCGTATTGGTGGCAGATGTGAAAGGGACTGGGTGAACTCCATAATGATGTGCTACTAGCTAAGCGTTCCTAAGCGACACCGGATGTAAACATAACCTGCATCGCGGCAGAACGGAAGTTGTCTGACGTCACGTGAAAAGGGCCTATTGTGTGAGAAAACAGAGTTTTGATGGCCTCTATTAAAAATAGGATTATCCCATCAGCTTTCCATAGGCTAGGTCTACTATATGTATTTATCAACTTTCCTAATATTAAGCACATTGCTTTGCTTTACAGCAGGAGTATAGCCTACCTGACTGGCATGAAAATGAACCATGGGAAAAGCGTCCTCCATTCGCTATTT